ACCTCACGTTCCGTGTTGGTGGGTGAACAATCGAAGGATTAACGTGATTAATTAGTGATAAGTTCCTGTGTACTAGTTTCATGTTAATTTCTGAGTATAAATATCTGTTGATGAGGTTTAGAGAATAAAATAGCTTAGTTAACTGTATGCACTTTGTCATCACCATTCATTGTGTGCTCCCGCGTGCTTAGCCAATCCTCGAATTTGTGACACTGGTATTTTTTTTAGATTTTATTTTTTATTTTTTTCGTCTGTTTTTTCGAGTTTAAAAAATGTGAGCTGGCTGGAGCCTTCATCCCTTGTCTATTTCTTACACTAGATACCAGCCGATACCCCCCCCCCCCCGCTCATAGAGACTGCGTACTACAGTTGATTATAGTTCCTGGGCTCCCTGTGTTCGGACAATGATACTGCTATAAATATAAATCTATAAATTTGAGCTTCGAGTCACTTCCTTTTTATTCTCAACAACAACATACTTAGTATATTAAACTCGCTCCAGACGAATATTCGACTTTTGCTGCTTGATGCTTCTGTTTATCTATTGTATACAGTTCATTAGTAATCAGTGAAATAGTAGCTGCATTATATTGTATTTGTGAGTTGCTTTTTAAAAATATACTAAATGTGGTAGAATCATAGGCCAATACGAACAATGTTTTATCACATTTATCGTCACAAACCATGTGATAAAACCAGGTGATATTTTCGACGTCACGGCACATCTCAATATAACTGTATTACACAATTTATCGGCAATTTGATTGGCCCTTGCATACAATTTGAAACTGTGACGTCACCGACTGACAATCTTCTTAAGTGAAGGCCAAACACACATATTCCGTTATTGACTGTTTGAAATACAACTTCGAATGTTTCCACAATATGCCAATAATTTGAGATTTAATGTCGAATTTATAAAAAATTAAAGTTGTTTTGCTAACAAAATCACGATTGATTTGAGAGTACATGGCATTTCATACTTGGATGACATACAATAAGCCATGTAGCTTAATGACAAAACTGTCAATAATCTTGAGCGAAAACCTATTAAACTTCTTGTTTTCATAATTGGTATTATTATACATCTGTCACCGTAACGCCATAAGTTACATCTTGCCGCTATTTTTTGGTATTTTACGGCGTATTTTCATCTTACCATATGCGCGTGAGTGTCCTCTAATAAAAAACATGGCTGTCATCAGAGTTTGACCGGACTCCACACAAAGATGTTCGTTGATTCTGTTCTAAATATTTTTAATTTCGGCATTCCCATGGTGTATCCTAAGAAGGAAATATGTATAATAATAAGGTTATTACGAGGATACCTCGAAGTAAGCACTCAGATAGTACGCTGCGCGTCAGTCGATACTCCTACTGTCTTCGTGCATACTTTGAGGTAACTCGTAATAACCTCATATTAATGTCTCCAAATCATCTTGTCCCTTGGTTCAATTTGTTTAAACGATTTATAATAAAGGTATATAATTGTCTATTGTGCTGATGATGTCAAGTGTTGGGTATAATGAGCAATTCATTGAATGTCATTAGATAGGAAACTTAGTACATGTATCTCTAAAAATGTACTTAAAATTAGGGAGTCCTGTGAGACTGTTTTACGTGACGTTTTTATTTTTTTTTTTTACAAAAGCTGTGCTTGCCATATAAGATCCGCATCGAACACGGCGTGATGCGACAACAATGGCACCGTACAAGTTGAGACGCGAAATTTACCCCACTCAACGCATAGACTATATATAGCTCATGCAATAACTTACTAGTATTAGAATTGATGGGGTCCCATTGAGAAAGTTATATTTATTATTGAAATTATAGAAAACATAAAAAGTGACTACTTATCACGAATGATTTGTTCAATATGTATTATTACCACAAACTAGTTATGAATGGTATAATTTATCAACCAATACCACAACACATTAAAATCATGTGTTTTTTAATCATCCCTAAAAAATGATTCAAAATCATGTTATCAAATTTACCGTCGTTATTACGAGTTTAAGGTCGTTATAATGAATTTATTATTTTTTTTTACGATTTCGAAAGACATTGACTTACTGTCGTTATTGTGAGCATGAAGTCGTTATTTCGAGCTTATTGCAATTTAAAAAAAAAACATCGATTTATAAGAGTTAACAAAGTTTTGAGTTTAATTACTAGCTCAAAGTTGTTATAACGAGTTGGAGGCATCAATTTATTATTTTAATAATGGCACTGATAAACCACCGTTATTACTAGTAAAGAAGGATACGGAATTTATTTATTTTCGCGATGAGTCATGTCGCAAAGTAATCTACAAAGCCGGTCTATAGAGGGACTATATCAAGGTGTCAAAGGTAATTCCGTTATAGATCAACGCCATACGAAAAGACGATGAATATCAAAACAGTTGAGATGCATACTAATGGAGACCCTGTACGTCTTGTCACAGGTGGATGTCCTGAAATCAAAGGTAAAGACGTCCTCGAAAAGATGAAGTTCTTTAAAAACAACCTGGATCACATACGCCGGTTATTAATTCTGGAGCCAAGGGGGCATGTTGATATGTACGGTGCTGTGTTGGTAGAACCCGACCACCCAGAAGCACATATTGCCGCTTTCTTCATACACAGCAGCGGATACGGCACGATGTGTGGCCATGCAACTATTGCTATAGCAAGATATGCTGTTGATCACGGCTTTGTTAGTGATGTCCAGGAACCAGAAACTGCAGTCAATGTCCAATGCCCATGTGGACTGGTGCGAGCTTATGTTGAATACAAGAACGGTAAAACTGGATCATCTCGAATACATACGGTGCCGGCGTTTGTTTTTGCCACAGGTGTGTTTATATGTATATAATTGTGGTGTTTTTATACTATGCTTTTATATTTTATTTCCACGTTTTTTTTTTAATTGGCCACTACTGTATCAGATGTATTATATTTGACCTCCCACATGACTGATTTCATATCTGTTTATTGACATAAAACACCACAATATATTAAGATTACTGCTCCTTGAACTAAATAAATAAAATCCGAACATTGTCACAATTGTTCGAAGTGCGAAGTAAGTATGAAAATTGAGTACATATGTGGAAAATTGGGTACATATGTGGAAAATTGGGTACATATGCAGAAAATTGGGTACATATGTAGAAGTCCCCCCCCCAAAAAAAAACGCGGTAGGATCCGTGGTACATCGTGGCCATTTCACAATGTAATCTCATCCTTACAATTAATTAAATAAAAATTTAGTATATTAGTCATATTTTTGATTCGATGTTAACATAACTCTGTACTACGGTGTTGGTGATATATGAAATCGGTGCCATAGGATGGTACTTGGCGGCCAACCAACCTAATCAAATATGTATTTTGCATTGTACGAGTGCAAAATAAGTTATTAGGAAATTAGAATATTAGTACATCCTATGGCACCCAAATCATATACTGTAGAATACTTTATTTTCGCTTGGAATTTATTTTCGCTATTTTCGCTGAAG